TGGGTGGGAGGGCGGGTATTTGTGAGCCTCCGGACATTCAGGGCTAAACTCTGGATCGGGAGCCCCCTCTAGGCTGAACACGGGAACAGGATGGCGCTCTGGAGGAGTGGACACTTGAGGGCGCTTTCAAGGTACGGGCACTGGAGGGCGCTTTCGAGGAGCGGGCACTGGAGGGCGCTTTCGAGGAGCGGGCACTGGAGGGCGCTTTCGAGGAGCGGGCACTGGAGGGCGCTTTCGAGGAGCGGGCACTGGAGGGCGCTTTCGAGGAGTGGGCACTGGAGGGTGCTCTGGACTGGATTTGGGGACTGGAGCCCTCTCCTTTTCGGTGTGGCACATTCGCCACGCCATACTCAGCTCACCCTCAGCTGCGGTGCAGGGGTTGGAGCTCCTCTCCGCGCTCACACCGTCCGTGGCGTTCTCCCTCGTGCCTGGCATTGTCGCCGGCTCTCGCACCTGGTCTGACGGATTCAGCTCTACGTCCAGGGCGATCCTCTGCTCAGTCGCTCGGCTTTGCGCTGGCTCGCTGATCGTGGCAGGAATTTGCTCTCCGTAATCGGTGGGCTCGGGTTTTAGCTCCGCACAGCAGGGAGATGGTGGACTGGGCTCTGGGTCCGGAGTGGATCTGGCGAGATCATCCTCGGGAGTGACGGTGAGAGGTGACCAGTTTCTCGCCAGAATCCACTCCACAAACACAGCGAAATCCTCTCGAGGACCATCTTCAGACGACGGTGCTCTGCACTCGATGTTTAGACTGGCGTCGTAGAACGCAGAGAGCGCGTCGTCCGGATACCTGGTGGTGCTTGCTAGCATCTGGAACAGTCTAGTATGGTCCTCGAGAGCTTTGTCCCCCTGCTCCAGCAGGAGGAGGAGGGATTCGGGGTGAAGAAGGGCATCCATCCAGGGAACACAATGGAAAAAAAAGATACTGGGAAAAACGAGAAAACAAACGGAGGGGAAGACACGGAGGTAACTGTTTTTGGGTCAGGTCTTCTGTCATGCTACGCTGTTGAGGGAACACGCTGGAGGCACGAGTAAACGAGAACAGTCTCAAGGAAACACAGAGGATAATCCACAATAGGAGCTTGAGCCAACACACATAGACAACAAGTAGACCTGACAAACACAAACTGAACAGACTAGGACTTTTATACAGGGGATGATTGGGGAACACAGGTGACATCAATGGAACATAATCAAACTAAACGAGGACAGGAACATGACCAAATAAGGCAAAACAGGAACTGAAACATGACAAAACAGGTCCAATCCTGACACATACAGTAGGCTTACATGCATATAATCTCGGTTGCAGAATGTTACAATATGGAGGACAGCTTACTTATAGTGACCTATAGAAACAACTGCTACTGAGGCAGAGCTGGTTAGCGTGATATAATTCACTGATATAATGGCTAATTCCCCAATTAGAGGAAAGAGAAAAAATGCTTCGGAAAAAAAAAGAATCATTCTTGTTTTAAAGGATAGACTATAATAGTTTTAGAAAAAAGTATATATTTGATTCCACATTTTTAAGGAATAGGGATGTTATTTCACTCTTTAAGAGTGTCAGAATTTCACTGTTATGGGTGATATTTTTTTCTACAGATAATGGTGTATTGATTTGCTCCTGTGTAGTAACTTGAATGCAAGGTTAGCAGGCTTGTTAGTTAGCGGTATGCTAAGATACCTTACAAACATAGAACATGAAATAGCTTTTGATTGTATAATATATGTGATTAACGTTCTTTGTGATATTTTGTTAGTTAAGATAATGTATATCTTCACCTGCATCATCTCCTCCCTCACTTCTCTCGTTCTTACATTCCTCTTTAATGTTGTTTGGCTGCATGAGTGCATTTGCTTTCTCATATAGCTTTTGCTGGCCTCTGATTTAGGCACATGTCCCCTTTTTGACTTTTACACAGAAGTTAACTTGTTTATTGTATTGATGATTGTGTTTATCAGACTTTTTTCCTGTCCTTTTTGTGTTTGTAGATGGAATGGGTCGAGTTCTGGCTCAGGACGTCTACGCCAAAGACAACCTGCCTCCTTTCCCTGCATCAGTTAAAGATGGCTACGCTGTTCGAGGTGAATACCCATTACTGCAAAATTACTCAACCTGCATGGTCTCGTTTACCACTTTTTTCCACCCAAATGAGGCAGTGTTCTTGCTGAAACCGTGCTCGGCCTGGAAATTTTGTTCTGCATTTAAGGGCAGAGAAATCACATAACTGATTATATAACAGTATATCCTGCCCATAAACATACATTTGCACAAACATTTAGAGAACATTTAACATCAAGTATAATTTAAGTATAATAATTGTATTCCTGTGATGGCAAAGCTGAATTTTCAGCAGCCATTACATTAGTCTTCAGTGTCACATGATCCTTCAGAAATCATTCTAATATGCTGATTTGCTGGTCAAGAAACATTTCTTATCATCAATGTTGAAAACAGTTTTGCTGCTTAATATTTTTACTAGTGCTGTCAAACGATTAATCGCGATTAATCGTATCCAAAATAAAAGTTTTAGTTTACATAATATATGTGTGTGTACTGTGTATATTTATTATGTATTTATAAATACACACACATGCATGTATATATTTAAGAAAAATGTTACGTTTATATATTAAATATATTTATATATGATATAATTTATATTAATATAAATATATACACGTAAATATATGTAAATATTTTCAAAATATATGATGTATATGTCTTTCTATATACATAATAAATATTCACAGTACACACATATATATTATGTAAATAAAAACTTTTATTTTGGATGCGATTAATCGCGGTTAATCATTTGAGAGCACTAATTTTTACACAAACTATGAAATTTTCTTCCAGTATTCTTTGTATGGATAGAAAGTTAAAAAAGACCAGCATTTATTTGAAATAGAAGTTTGCATTTGTAACATTGTAAATGTTTTACTGTCAATCTTAATCAATTTAATGCAACCTTTCTAAATAAAAGTAGTCATTCATTTTTATTTTTATTTTTATTTTAAACAAAGAAAAAATATTATTTTTATTTAATACTTGCTCATTTTGAGCTACAACATACAGATACAACAACCTTATTTTTAACTATAACTATTATGATCACATTAATCAAAACTGTAAACCTTTTGAAAATGACTAAGTTTCTCTTTTTACTGTTTTTCAGCTGCTGATGGTCCTGGTGATCGCTTCATCATTGGAGAGTCTCAGGCTGGGGAGCAGGTGAGTTAAACGAACAAAAACTGGAACTAGTCTTCTTACACTGTTGAAAATCTGACGAGCATAGTCTCTCTCCCTCACACATACACAGGAAATGCCTGCTTTTGCACTGGCACCTTGTGTCTGCAGGAGGCTTGTGTGCTCAGATGGCAAGAAAACTCAGACTCACTGAGCGTGTTTAATGAGTGCATCACACACACACACAGAGAAAGAGGGGGAGATCCCCGTGGGCTGTGTGCAGCAAAGTGCAGGCCAGCACTCCAGTGCTCATGGCTGACGTCCATACAGCGCTCTGTCTGGAGAGTATGTTTGCATTTGAGTCATGGGTCATTCTGTTGTTTTCTCAGCTAATGCCATATGACTCTGGTACGAATAATAATGTATATGTACAGGTGCATCTCAATAAATTAGAATGTCGTGGAAACTGGACTGTTGCCCAGTGGTCCAAAGTCCTCTTTTCAGATGAGAGCAAGTTTTGTATTTCATTTGGAAACCAAGGTCTTAGAGTCTGGAGGAAGGGTGGAGAAGCTCATAGCCCAAGTTGCTTGAAGTCCAGTGTTAAGTTTCCACAGTCTGTGATGATTTGGGGTGCAATGTCATCTGCTGGTGTTGGTCCATTGTGTTTTTTGAAAACCAACGTCACTGCACCCGTTTACCAATAAATTTTGGAGCACTTCATGCTTCCTTCTGCTGACCAGCTTTTTGAAGATGCTGATTTCATTTTCCAGCAGGATTTGGCACCTGCTCACACTGCCAAAAGCACCAAAAGTTGGTTAAATGACCATGGTGTTGGTGTGCTTGACTGGCCAGCAAACTCACCAGACCTGAACCCCATAGAGAATCTATGGGGTATTGTCAAGAGGAAAATGAGGAACAAGAGACCAAAAAATGCAGATGAGCTGAAGGCCACTGTCAAAGAAACCTGGGCTTCCATACCACCTCAGTAGTGCCACAAACTGATCACCTCCATGCCATGCCGAGTTGAGGCAGTAATTAAAGCAAAAGGAACCCCCTCCAAGTATTGAGTACATGTACAGTAAATTAACATACTTTCCAGAAGGCCAACAATTCATTAAAAATGTTTTTTTTTATTGGTCTTATGGAGTATTCTAATTTGTTGAGATAGTGAGTTGGTGGGTTTTTGTTAAATGTGAGCCAAAATCATCACAATTAAAAGAACCAAAGACTTAAACTACTTCAGTCTGTGTGCATTGAATTTATTTAATACACGAGTTTCACAATTTGAGTTGAATTACTGAAATAAATGAACTTTTCCACGACATTCTAATTTATTGAGATGCACCTGTATGTATATGATATTTTGTAGGAAAAGTAACAATTCAACCCAGTATCAGAAGGATGCAACATTAGTGTAGTTTTGCTTTCACACCACAGATTTCTGATACAGTGGTTAAAGATCTTTTTCTCTCTGTAGCCCACTCTCACAGTTATGCCAGGCCAAGTGATGAGGGTGACGACAGGTGCTCCTATCCCATGTGGTGCAGACGCTGTAGTGCAAGTAGAAGACACAGAACTGCTACGAGAGTCTGAAGACGTAAGTGTATCATATTCTTAACTGCAAACTATTGAAAACTATTTTAATAAAAACAACTACAACAAAAAAAAACTCAGATTCCACCAAGACCAAATACATTAACATTGTCATATCCATCACCGTGCTAAAATGTTCCGAGAGTTGTCATGATTGAAATAACTTTAACTTGAAATCAACCACATCCCTAAAAGAACAAAGTATGTTTTATAAATAATTTCTACCTTTGAGGATGCTCCCAATTTTGTTTTGCTTTTAGCTAGCTTTCTGGGGACATTTTTCATGTATTTTGTCCCAAATGTGAAGCATGCATAGTTCAAAGTATAAGACAATTAAAAAGAAAAACAACCAAATATATTTAAAATTTGGAGAACAACACAAGGATTTTATGAATGCATAATTACAATAAATTATACAGCAGTATTTTTTGCAATAGTATTTTTGTATTATCTTCATTTAATATGGAGGAAAACTAGAAACACACCACACAAACATACTTCTAAAGTTTCTAGCAAATTCTCACATAAATGAAAGTCCAGTGTTGTTCATACAGGTTGTTTGTACATGTCTCAATCTGGTTGGTTATGAATTACAGGGTACAGAGGAGTTGGAGGTGAGGATCCTGGTTCAGGCTCGTCCAGGACAGGATATCAGGTGAGTGGGACTGAAGTTTATTTCCGCAAAAAATGCCAGAGACTTTGTATAACTGACCAAATATTTCTTTTTTATCGTTACTGTGTTTTTTCATCTCAATATCCATTCATACAAGTCCATTTCGCCAAAAGTATTCGCATCCACATTTAAAGGAGAATTTTCTTTGAAAAGGATTTTATGGATGATTTTGAAAAAAGTATCTTATGCTTACCAGGACTGCTTTTTATCTTATCAAAAATACAATTTAGTATTGTGAATATTATTACGATTCAAAATAACTGTTTTCTATGTTAATATACTTTAAAATGTCATTTATTTCTGTGATGGCAATGCTAAATTTTCAGCAGCCATTACTTCAGTCTTCAGTGTCACACGATCCTTCAGAAATCATTCTAATATGCTGATTTAATGCTCAAGAAATATTTCTTATTATTATCAATTTTGAAAACAGTTGTGCTGCTTAATATTTTTCAGTGAATTTTAGTGTTTCGTACTGTCACTTGTATTCAATTCAATGTATCCTTGCTAAATAAATGTATTCAGTGTACAAAAGTGTATGTAGATGTATCATGTTTTGATACTTGTTGATGTGAATAAGCATTATTCCACATTTCACCTTTTTCACGAGGAATTAATCAGTCGCTTTGAGTAATATAAAACTGGTATTGTTATACACAGGCCTATAGGACATGATATCAAGCGTGGAGAGTGTGTGCTGGCTAAGGCCACTCACATGGGTCCATCTGAGATCGGCCTCCTGGCCACTGTAGGAGTCACAGAGGTGGAGGTGCAGAAATTCCCAGTTGTAGCAGTCATGTCCACCGGCAATGAGGTAGGACTTGTTTGTGTGTCGCTTTGTTACTTTCTTTTGCCCATGGTAATTTAAAACATGTTTGACCGTGTTTATGTATGTTTATGTATGCAGTTGTTAAACCCTGAGGATGACCTTCATCCAGGCAAGATCAGGGACAGTAACCGATCCACACTGTTGGCCACCATTCAGGAACACGGCTATCCCACCATCAACCTCGGCATCGTCGGAGACAAGTCAGCATCCCTTCTTTACCACACACACACACACACACACACACACACACACAGTCACACACACAGAGTCAGGTCTGCACGTCTAAATCTTTCCAACCTCAGCACTCCTCTGAAACTCCAGCTCTTACATTAGAATCGATACAAGATCATACAATGTCTCAGCAGAATTTACTGAAAGACAGCATTTCCTTGCAGAGCTCTGAAGTATTTTTCCACCTTTATTTGTATGTGCATACATATACTGTAGGGATGTATAGATGTATAATATTTATAAGGAGCATGTTTAAAACATGTATAAGAAGCAAATACAAGCAGGTTAATAATAATAAGTCAGTGATAAGTAATTAAAAACAAAATAAATATGTATTGTTTATTTTTCTGCATTCATATGAAGAAACTGTAAAGTTTTTCTTGAAGTCAGTAATGCTTTTTTGTGCTGTCCTCATTTTGTGGATATGAAATATGAAATTTAATACATTTAGTATAAATATAACAATATATTGTGTATTTTGAAATTATTATTTATATGATTTAATTATAATATAATATCACGTTCAAAAGTTTAAGGTTTGTAAAAAAAAAATTATGTTTTTAAAACGATGTCTCTTGCTCTCACCAAAGCTGCTTTTATTTGATGAAAAATACAATAAAAACAGAAATATTGTGAAATATTATTGTAATTTAAAATAACAATTTTCTCTTTTAATATATTTTAAAATGTATTTATTCCTGTGATAGCAAAGCTGAATTTTCAACAGGCATAACCCCATTTTTTCCCTCAGGAAAAATAGAAGGTTTAAAAGAACAGCATTTATTTGAAATAGAAATCTTTTGTAAAAATGTAAAAGCCTTTACTTTTAATCAATTGAATGTGTCATTAATGAATACAAATATTAAATTCAGGTTATTGCCTACATTACATTTGCACTAGTAACAGTGTAAGCAAACATTTTATACTTTTTACTTCACCAATATGCGAGGAATGGATTTAACAAAGAAAAAAATTGCATGTAATTTGGCATGATCATGTTTTGTAACCCCCTGCAGCCCAGACGACCTGTTGAACGCCCTGAACGAGGGCATTAGTCGTGCTGACGTCATCATCACCTCCGGGGGCGTGTCTATGGGTGAGAAGGTCAGTTGATTGGAGTTGTCTGGAAGTGCTGTAGTCTAATGAAAGGTCACATGCTTGAAATGTCCAAGCTTCTCAATACAGGAATGTGGCCTCACAGATCAGTCTGCTTCATGTCAAGAAGAGGATTCCATTGGTTTACCCAGAGAGCACGAGATCTCAGAGCAAAACTCTTTTAAGAGCTTATGCCGCAGGTCACTGTATGTTTTACTGCCATCTAGTGTTTCTGCTTGTTTCTTGTCACAAAGCAGCATTTGTTAACCTGGCCTTTTATTTTGGGTCTTTGCCCAGGCAGCAGTGCACTGACCGCCTCTTGCTCTTGATTTTCCGCCCTATTAATTAAAGCTCTTTAATTACCCGATGTTTCACTTCATCAGACGTGGATAGATGTTGTTGTCCTACATGAGAGGAGAAACGCAAACACTCACGTTAACGTCTGTGTATGTTTTTTTTTTTCAGGACTATCTGAAGCAAGTGCTGGATATAGACCTCCATGCCCAGATCCACTTCGGTCGAGTGTTTATGAAGCCGGGGTGAGTGAGAGAAGCAGTCTTAGTCATGCAGAGCCAGACTTGCGTAAAGTCTGGATGGGGCGGCACTGGCGTGAGGGGAGGGGTTTGGTTGTTGGATTGAGGATATCTTGTTTTCTTGTGAACAAACTGCCTTAAAATTCTTTCAAGGATTTAATGCCATGAGCTAAAAAATGGTGGCAACGCCAAAATATTGATAAGAACTAGAGCCCGACCGATATATCGTTTAGCCGATATTATCGGCCGATATGAGCCTGTCGCCGATATATCGGTATCGGCAAATATGCCGCCGATATGAACTTTTTTTTACATAACATATAATGCAGATAAAATGCTTGAAATGGTGTAATTACTTAGTTTGTCCAGCAGAGTGTGCTCCATTGTTTGCTACTGGCGACCTGGATGAAACGCTTTAAAGCTTATCTTATAAGTCTATGGAAAACCATTGGAACTTTGAACGGCCATATCTCCGTAAAGGCGCGGCGAATCCGCACCAAATTCGGGGGATCCCTTCAGCTCGAGGAACCCTCTCGAACGCGAATCGAGTGTACTTGTAGAGGCCCGCTTTCGAATGAGACCACCACCGCATCGATAGCCCCCGGGGTTCGGGAGTTACGGGCGGTTAAATTCTGGTATCGGCGTTTGGTATCGGGGCATTTTAACGAGTACGAGTACGAGTACAGGAGCTCAGTATCGGGCCCGATACCGATACCAGTATCGGTATCGGTGCATCCCTAGTCCAAACTTTTGACTGGTACTGTACTATAATATACACAAAGAATACCGGCCGATATATCGATATCGACTCCCTAATATCGGTATCGGCCCCAAAAAAACCATATCGGTCGGGCTCTAAGAACCAGTGCACCAGTAAAGAGTTATTTAGTATAATTTTGCCAGAAAAATCTTGTTTTTATCATATGTTAATGTAAAAAATCTTGTGTAATATAACTTGTGTTTGTTTGTTTGCTGGTTTTTATTGTATTTGTTATACTTGTATTTTTTTAAATTGTTTTTGCCATGTAGATGCTGACATGGCATTAAATAAAAATACACTACTACTACTTATTTCGACATGGCTCTCTGGAATTCTTGATTCTGATTGGTCAGTTGTGGCATTGATCTGTCATCATTTGGGTAATTCTGTATAAATGACCACTCATACAAGCAACCAATGACTTTATATATCTTGTAATACTCCTGCAACAATATTACAGTATTAAAACTGAAGTCCTCCGAGATCATTTTTACTACAATTGTTAATCGAGATCCAAGATGGTGGCAGTTATGTTTGCAGTGACACAATAGACATGAAAATGGCACCAGGTTGACTTACTCAGATGAGCGGTTCGATATAAAGCATTGCCCAGATGATTGCCAAAAATATTTGGAAACATCTGACTGCTTAATGCTGTGATTGACCAATCAGAATCAAGTATTCCAGAGAGCCTTGTAATAATTTGTGATAACAACTGTATACTGTATTTGCTGGTTAGGGCATCTGTTGAAAAATTATTTTGGTTGTTGCTGGGATGTAGAATGTTGATGCTTTATTCTATTTCTATTTTAGTTTGCCTACTACGTTTGCCACCTTAGACACTGACGGTGCCAGAAAGCTGATCTTCGCCCTTCCAGGTACAATATGCTGTGTATTTGACATAGTGTGTATGTAAACAAATGGAGAAGTTTTGACAGGAAGAGTGTCTCAGAGTTGGAACTGTTTAGAATTTACACAAATGAAATCACATACATACACAAACCCATGTGACTGAGTTTCCTCTTTCTCCCACATACTTACTACTTACAGTACAACAACTTCTTTTATTCTAGCTATTTACATAAGCTCACATATCTATACAGTACTATCTCCAAACTAAATGGTCCCTTCTCCATAAAATTGAATCAGCCCACGGTTGCCCACCTGTGTACCTTTCTGCAAACCTGCATCTCCCTGCTTGCCCACCGGTCCGATCAGCTTTCCCAAGCTTGCCCCCACCCCGAGCCAACTGTACTCCCACCTTGTGGCTTCGGAAACCAGGTGGTCGAGGCAGTGGTGACAGTGGTGATTTCTATATTCCCCTTCAAAGGTAATTTCACCTACAGAGACACAGGGGCGACTCTTCTGGAGACTGTGCCCCTGAGTGACAGCGAGGCCAGCAGACTGCCTGTGCCTCCTCCCCCACGAGGAAGTAGGTGCTCTTAATTCAGGAAATAAGCCCTGTCTTCAGCCCGAGCTCAGAAAACGGAAATGGACTTGAAATTTTGACACCAAACCCTAATAACCTGGTTTTCGAAACCATGTAACACGAAATCTCTTTTTAGTGCACTTGGGCTCATTTGGGACCAGTATGTTATAATTATTACAGACATTACAAGTTAAAAACCTGAAAAGGCCTTGTCTAATCTACAGTAACAACCACAATGAAATGAAACATAGGAATAATATTTTTGTTCTGATTTTCCAATGTGACGCTTTCTGTTCTGTTTTCTGAGAGAAGCCTTGTGTTTTTGCTTTTTTGCGCACCTTGTAGCTATTAGTTCTGTTGCAACCTGCCGAAGCCCTTCCATTTTGTGTACCGTGATGTGGTTTAGTGTCTTGAAACTGCTATGTGTCTGATGTAGTGCTGTCCTCCTTTTGCTTTCAATGCCCTTCTTCCCTTCCTGTTGATGTGGTGGAGGGCACCTCTGCATTTGATACACTCTTCTTTCTTAGCTGGTTTCAGTAGTTGGTTCACATTTGTCTTATCAGGGAGTATTGGGTTGTTTTCACACTTTATTTGATTGCTCTGGTACGAACCAGAGTTCAATTCCATCCCTAGTATTATTGGGCTTCGAAATGTACATGGACACAAATGTACATTTGCATAATCAGTGTGAGTGCAACTTACACACCAACCAGAAAAACTGAACTCTGATGTCAAAAAGATTCCTTAAAGGGGCAGTTAACCCAAAAATGAAAATTTTGTCTCTATTTAATCACCCTTGTGTTGCTACAACCCTTGTGTGACTTTCCTTTTTCCATAGAACACAAAAGAAGAAGCTGAGCAAAATGTTAAAGCTGCTATTTTTTAATGTAATGATAATAAGGTATGTGGAAAGAAAGTAATTAGTAGCTTAATTCATCAAGGACACATTACATTGATCAAAAGTGGCCATAAAGACATTTATAATGTTGCAAAATATTTAAATTTCAAATAAATGTCGCTTTTGAACTTTCTATTCATCAAAGAATCCTTAAATCTATCACGGTTTCCACAAAAAGTATTATGCAGCACAACTAATTTCAACATAATAAGAATAATAAGAAAATAAATGATAATAAGAAATGTTACTTGAATGGTACAAATCAGCATATTAGAATGATTTCTGAAGGATCATGTAAAACTGAAAACTGGAGTTATTTTAAATTGAAATAATTATTCACACTATTACTGTTTTTACTGTGTTTTGATCAAATAAATGCAGCTTTAGTGAGCTTAAAAAAACATTTGCAGCGACTAAGCTTTTGAACAGTAGTGTACAAGAATGAGGTTTGAGATCTGTGGAAGATTTTCAGCAAGTAATAGTTAAAACTGCTGTCAGTTGCTTGATTTCAGGCTAATTTTGTGGTACTTTTATGGCGTTTTGTTGTTCTTGTAGCTGGATAGCCACTGATCACTGTGTACATGAATTGTAAATAAAAGAGCAGCGTAAACATTCTGCTAAATGTCTCCTTTTGTGTTCTCTAAAACACAAGATCGGACAATTTTGGAACAACATGAGGGTGAACAAATTACAGAATTCACATTTGGAAGTGAACTGTTGCTTTAAAGACATCAGGAAACAAACTGAATTCCTATCTACTACAGATGATCCACAGTTCAGAGAGTTTCTGCCCCAGACCTCCACCCCGACCCTAAACCGTAAGCCATAGTCTTCACCTCAACACTCGTCTCTTCTTTCTGTCTCAGGTAACCCAGTGTCAGCTGTTGTAACCTGTAACCTCTTTGTTATCCCTGCATTAAGAAAGATGCAGGGGATCCTGGACCCACGGCCCACCATCATCAAAGCCAGGGTGAGTATGGCCAATAACGCTCATGTTCTTGCAGTGGTGGATTGAAAGTATTTTTACTTCAAGTGAATTTTTCAAGTATGTTTTTTTTTTTTGTTGAGTATTTTATTGTGGAAACCTTTCCAAAACATTACATTTCATAAAAAAAAAACGTATCATTCCTTGTTAATTTGAACTGAAGAAATCATCACCTGCTCTGAGAGGTGATAGTGATGTCCGATTTGTGAACAAGCTGATTCTTTTCAATGAACCTGTTGAATCGTATCGCATATTGCAATTCATTCACAAATTGGACTGATCTGATAGCAGCTGTTCTCGAGTCAACAACTCACTGATTCAAGGATCCAGTCAGAGTGAGTCTTCATGTCTAACTTAAAATGAGCCAAGAACCAGAAGATCCTTTGAGCTTGAGTGTGTGCGCAGCTGACAGCTTGACAAGGAAGCTACTAATTCCAAATTTTAGGATTGATTATTGTAAAAAAAAAAAAATCATATTTGATAAAATCATATTTTGGTCATGACCTTCAGTTGTTTGTGAACTAAATCTGCTGTGAGCTGTTTAAGCACATATTATATAATATGTTATATATATATATATATATATATATATATATATATATATATATATGCAATGCTTGCATTTGAATATGTCCTGTATCACCATCTGAACCATGTAGGTTTTAGGTAAAAACTAAACATGATATTGAAATACTGTAAAATAAAGCCCATGCATCTTCCCCGCTGCCGTAGCAGTTTCAAATGATATAAAACTAGTATGTTTGCATAGCATTCTTCTCAAAATAACACATTTTGCCCTGTTATGTCTGTTTTTATATTGTATGTTTATACTATTTGTCAACACACATTTTTTTAAACACTGTTGTTGCATTTTATTTTCACTTGTTTGCACATTTGAATTCGGTATCCTAAATTGATGTATTGATATATTTAATGTTTGATGCTGTGACAAGTTTTGTAAATGTAAAGAACTTTTTCTTACTTACAAATCAATAGTCTGCAATACATCATATAGAGTGGAGTAAATAAAATTGCAAAATAAACATTTATCAATCAGTACTTTTTTAAATACTTGAGTGCATTAAAAAACAAATACTTTTGCACTTTGACGTAAGTAAAATTGAAAAGGAATATACTTTTACTGGAGTAATGTATTATTATGGTATCTGTACTTTTACTCCAGTACTTGAGTTGTGTACTTCATCCACCACTGCTTTCTTGTGACTTACATTGTGTTTCTGCTGAGATGTCATCTGTATGTGTCCTTTTCTTGGCAGCTGTCCTGTGATGTAAAGTTGGATCCACGTCCAGAATATCATCGCTGTATACTGACATGGCACCACCAGGAACCACTTCCCTGGGCACAGAGCACAGGTATACATAATTAGTTATGTATATGTGTATATACGGCATACAGCATATATATAGCTTACAAATAACTAACTTATTTGAATGCAAAAAAGCAAGTAACACCCTGTTCTGCTTGACAGGAAACCAAATGAGTAGTCGGCTAATGAGCATGCGCAGTGCCAACGGCCTTCTGATGTTGCCTCCGAAAACAGAGCAATACGTGGAGTTGCACAAGGGTGAAGTCGTGGACGTCATGGTCATAGGACGGCTATGATGTCATCTTAAGGGGACAGACCAAGTACAGAGCAAGAAAGTGGTGCATGTCCACATATCATTACTATTCTGGAATATGCAACGGCACAGCTAGGTTTTATTGATTTGGGAGAAGTTGATCCAGTATAATCAACATTTCGAACAAAGACGAATATGTGAAATTTCTGAAAATACGACTTCGAAGACATCATAGTATTTCAAAGACAGAAAACATTATACCTTTTAAAGTGAGAATATATATATATGAAATATAAGAGATTTATTCTGTAATATATTGTTATAATTATTATGATTATTCATATAATGATGAATATTATCATATTAAGCGTTCTCTTTCATTGCAATTGCTTTGTGTGTTCAATGCTAGAACTTATAGATAGCCGTAGTATTTTAATAGACAGCTGTTGGCGCCTGTCACACATACATCAGAAAGCTTATTTTCTCATCGGTAGAAAATGTGTCACTGAGGAATGAAAAGCTCTTCAAAATGACAGGAGCTGGATCTTTTCATCTCCCCTCAAAGTGCACCAAGGTGACCCAGCTATCTTTCCCTTTAGTATTATATGCTCCATAAAGACTTCATTATGCTTCATAAAGGGTTTACAAAACCGCTTTGCTTGTCGTTTATCTTGTGAGTCGTGTTTATGTGCGCAGTGCCAAAAGCCAGGGCTGTGGGGGAAGGTCTTGTGGTCGTGCCGCCGGGTGGCACAGACTTTGTGTGGAAACGATGACCGGTCGGTGGGGGTCTGTGTAAATTCTGTGCTACTTTAGCGCGCCCCGAGGCATGTCCTGTGCTACAGGCTATACATCAGTCTGGAACATACTTCATAGTAAACTGGCCCTCATAGCTCTGTCCTTATTACTCTCTATTTTACACACTACCCTTACATTTAAACTCGCCCGGCCCAATCCTAGAGGCTGAGCTCCCTGGAAACTTTTATTTGTTTAACTTTGAAGATGAAGACAGCTTATTTAAGTGCTGACTGCCTTTTTAAATGAATTACATCAAATGTACAGTCAAAAAAAATGCAAGAGTGATATTGTACAGACAAGTGACCAGCACTCCTGAGGAATATACTATGGTACTGAAAAGATATTGAAAACCTCTGTACTATAATATCATTTTCTGTAATACTGATCTAATGCGAGAATTAAAATTCTTGATCATTATGTAAAGACGTGATTCAGTTTCATTTTTTAAATAAACACTGAAAGCTGATTGACTTGAGTTCTCCAAATCTGTTTATTTCCATGCATATATGATCAATGTTTATTATTTAATATATATAATATTCACAATTGTATTAAATCAAATATAAAAAAATACTTAATAAATATTAAGTAATAAACAAAGAAAAACAAGAAAAAAAAGTATGCACATTGAATTTACAGCTCCAAAAACATTTTCCAAACAATGATTTGACCACTCAGGTCTTCAACAGGCACAATGCCTGATAATATTTGGAAAGTAATTTTTTGGAAAATACATTTTTGGAGCTGTCACTTCAGAGAGCACACTTTGTTTGTTTGTTTGTTTCTTTCTTTCTTTCTTTCTTCCTGCACCTGAACCGAAATTTGGGTCTTCTGGACGTTCACACCTTTTTATTTATTTATTTATATTTACTTATTTATTTTTGTATTAATAAGAGATGCCATAGTCTTGAAATATAAGCTGTTTCCTTTAAGCATTATTAAAGTTTTCTCTTGTATTTAATTGGACATCCTTTAAAAAATAAAATAAAAATATCTGCATTCTTCTGTACAATTTAACACGCAGAAAGCAGTTTGTCAAATTAATGTCTGAACATACCCTATTCAAAGTGGACAATTTGCTAACCCATAAGGCTATGCTGAATTTTTTTTTTTTTTGTACGTTTTGGTTCTACTATACTGAAAGTGGCTAATATTTTAAAATCGAACAAGCATCAAAAACCCAAGCCGAAACTGACCGGCTTCTCGTCCGCTCGTTATTCGCAAGGAAAACCACACCTAATTGGACGGTGGAGTTTAATCACGGTGGATCTGTCCAATCAGAAGCGTCGTCTCATGCGGTTGCCGGAGGCGCTGTTGAGCCGTTCTCCGTCAGTCAGTACCGAGACTCGAGCCGCGGCGACCCGTCACATAACATGACAACAATCTCATGCGCTATTCTGTGAATAAAACCGCTTGTTTGGGAGTATTTGTACACTAACTGGACTAAAGGGACGGCATATCTAACTGAAGAGGTAAGCTAAGCGACTCTTTAAAGTTGTTTGGCCGTTTAAACGCGGCGTAAGTGTTGTTTGCAACAGGTTGCCTGGGAAAGAAAGCAGCGCTGCACTTCGGGAAGTGGCCAGCTACGTTAGCAGTGTTAGCAATGCAAATATATTTAGCAAAACACTAAAGCAAACTCTAATTTCTCTGAAATTAAACTCTATAAACATTGAAGAGACTGTTTATAGGATTTATACGTTCTGTGTTTCACTATTTTTGGAGTTTTTAGGGCATACCAAGCTCATACAACGGCTGTCCCTCAAAACCCAATGAGCTGCCTACCTAGGCAGTATTTTTAGGCATCATAGGCGCGTTCATTGCTCAAAAAGTGGCAGCTCACTAGGTCGTGAGACAGTTACCCTGCTGCTTTAGATTAAGTTAATGTGAATGTGAAGATACAGGCGGAAAATGGCAAAACTAAAGCTCCTCAAACAACCTGTTGAAACTGCATGGAAGTTTCTTTGATCGATACACGGACTGCCATTGTTCATCTACCTTCATTACAGCCATTAGGACACAAATGTCGCATTGTTCCCTTCGGGAACGTTCAGAAATCAGATATCACTGACTCTTCATATTCTCTCTGGAGTGATTACTGGGATACTATGGATCAAAGCTGACATGGAAAGGGCGTTATCGTTTTATTTTATGGCTGAAATGCCTTGGGGAAGTAGAGGAGAATGTATTTCACCAGTCAGGCTGATGTCTACAGTTTAAAAGTTGATCATTTTTGTATTATTAGTAAATTGAAGAGCGTGTCATTCATTAAAATGGTCTTGGATTCTAGACACACTGGACTGTGTTTACTAGGCATGTTAAAAGTGTTTATGTGCTTATAAAATTGAGTGTTAAGTGTTCTGGTTTATTTTATCAACCTCCTTAGTGCATATTCAAAGGACTCTGACAGTTTGATGTGCTAGTAAAGGAGAAGAAAATAAAGTTTTTCAATCTTGATCTTTTCTTGTGTTACTAGTTCACGCTCAGTGACTATAGTACATGTAACTTGTGGTCTCCAAAATTACCTTTAATTTCCAAAAAACGTTTAAATTGTGGCATAATTGTATTTAAATGTAAATTCTTAATTAAATACAAACTAAACTATGGACAGTATCATGCTGTTAATTACCACAGTAAATAATTTTGACGACAGAAATAATGTTTCCTCAGTTTCAGGTTTCCCACAATCCTGGGAACCCTATGCCTACAAAAGCCACAGAAATTAATCAAAACTATAACAGTCATTGAAATTTCAATAGAATGTTTTTTAGTTATGCTCAATCTAAAGTATTTCTTTGCATAGAAAAAGTCATATAATAATGCTATCAATAATAAACAACTGGAGAAGTCTTAGAAAATCTTGTGGGAACCCGACAGTATTTAAAAAGCAAACAAATAAAAATGTTGACAGACATACCTTATGTGAAAATCTGTGAGAGTGTGCCAGTTGACCCATGGACTTTAATTGTAAGTGCTTCACTATTAACATTTGTGGCTTGTTTTTGTTTGTCTTATGGTCACCAAGTCACCAAAAAGTCAGTTCCCAGCAGGGTCTGGTTGTGATCCATGTCTTCATTCCATTATTAGGAACACAGTTGACAATCTTATCATTTCCTCAGATCACAAGCTGCGAGTCAGCTGGCAGCTCTGTGTTGTTTAAAGATAAGTCTTCTCTGCATGCTGTGATATAATTCAGCTTTGGAGGTGGCCGAAGGTAACCCGTATCAGCACCGTCACAGAGATAACCTTCCCTGCTCTTTATGCTTATGTTGAAGTCCGAGATCATTTGTTCCATAAAATGATTCAAGGCTGTTGATGAAGATTATGATGATGGTAATGGGTTATTTATGGCAGTTTTGTTTGTTTGCTGCAGGTGTGGAGATACTGCGCAAATAAATCATGCTATAACAGATGATAGAGGGTTTTGGCTCTGAATCAGATGGGCTTTCTTTCAAGGAGACGTATCTGTTTTCAGAGTAGAGCGAGAGGTGTTAATGCCAGCACGTTCTCGAATCATATTACCTCACCGCCACGTTCCTTCAGTGAGTCTGGCCTGTCAGACTGATGAAATCTGATGGCCTGAGGAATTTATTGCAGGATATAGCACATAGGGGGACTCCCTTCATCATCAGTGGATTTAAATATAAATAATGATAATTTATATCTTAATATAATTGTTCATATAAAATTATTACACAATATAAAATTGTTCATGTAATAATTAAATATAATACTCTTTTTTTTTTTTATATATATATATATATATTTTTTTAGTGGTTGTGTAAAAAAAATGTGTAAAAGGAACTTTACTTGTTATATGCACTACCATTCAAAAGAGTTGTTCATGGTTTTTTTTGTGTGTTTTTGTGTTTAATTTCTTTTATGCTCACCAAGGCAGCATTTATGTAATCAGAAATACTGTAAAACTGTAATATTTTAAAATATACATTTAAATATTATTATAGTATTGGAATATATTTTAAAACTAAATTTATTATTTGGCAGTGGTGAATTTTCAGCAGCCATTTTTTTACCCGTACCGGACTTCAGTGTCCGGTACGGGTAAATTGAAGTTTTCAATTCACAGAGACTTCAGTGTCACATCATCTTTCAGAGAACTAGTAGGAATACATTTGAATATGCTGATTTGTGCTTACGAAACATAAATTATATTTATAAATGTTGAAAGCAGTTGTGCTGCTTAATATTTTTGTGGAAACATGGTACTTTTTTTCTCTAGAATTTTTTTGTTGAATAGAAAGTTCAAAAAACATAATTTATTTGAAATGATCTTTTGCAACATTAAAATGATTTTACTGTCACATGTTCAAATTAATGCATTCTTGCAAAGTATTAATAAATAAATATAAAAAATACTGACTTCGAACATAAATGATAGTGTATATTTAGCCACCCCTTCTCTAGATATTTTTTTTTGTTGCTTTGCATTGACTATTGAAATACCTACCTGTATTTGTCAAGCACTAGTTCATATCCACTATAGTGACAGACACCAACTATAGTGACAGACACCAGCATTTTATAGTTATGTGTGGAACTAGCAAGTAGGCTGATAGTCTCAAGTGTTTCATTCTCATTCTCAGATGTGTGTGATGCATTGATGTGGGAGGAGAGTTATGAAGGTGTAGACAGGACTTTTTTATCACATGGGTGGTGGTGCGGGAAGGGACTGGGACCAGTGCCAGCAATGTACAGAACCGCTGTGACCCATCTGTGTCCCCTGAGGAATTCTCAATATGCACCGGCTCTGCTGTCCTGATGGACCGCCACGGCTAGGAATTAACAAGCCACAAACTCTACTAGAGAGCCCATCCAAAATGCCAGGGGGCTACTGTTCTGTCTAGACTTGGATTTTCCCACTAGTTTTCAGGAGGCCCGTGAAGGTCAATAACAACATGGCCCCTGAGTGTTCAAACTAACGACCCCGAAAGGATAGCATACGGCTATCGAATCACCGACTTGAAAAATGTTCTCATCAGTTGTGTGAAATGTTTCTTATCACTGTTTGTCACTTGGCTAATACTAGCTGTGAGGAATCCTTATTAATCTATTGATTCCATTTGGGGTCTGTCAAATCTCTCAGTCATTGCAGGATGGTCTAGGTGCAGTAACCAGTCAAGAGTGGTTGAGCCACAGATCACCAGCGCTGTCTAATAGGCTTCCAGTGCTATAAATTGCAACACATCAGCACACTTTAAAACATGCAGATATTTTTTAATGCTACTTTTTTTTTTTTGTAGAACCATGCTGGTAATTTCATATTCCTATCACTATGGATTGAAAATTATCGTTTTCAATGCAAGATGGTAGGTTAATCTTGTCTTTTTATTAGGGGTGGGAATCACAGGGTACCTCACGATACGATACGAATCACGATACATGGCTCACGGTACGATAATATCG